TTTTGTTTTATCGACATTCAGGATCAGGTTGTTGGTGTTACACCAGTCTGTCAGATGTTTCACCTCCTCCCTGTAGGCCTGTTCGTGTTGTCCCTGATGAGTCCCACCACTGTTGTATCGTCGCGTACTTTATGATGTGGTTGGTACTGAACCTGGAGCATAAGCGCTATCGATAAAAGTAGTAGTACCGTTGTGTACCCTATGTGGATGTCAGTTTTACACACATTCTGAGGCCGCCGTGCTATGTTTTTTGTTTTCACTGCTAATTTATGCTTATGTTCTATTAGTGCATTAAAAAATCATTAAAATCATTAATGAAAGTTTCAGCTCAGACCCCACGCTTAATATGTCTCCCCTGGCCCACCTACATTTCTCCAGGCCCACCCACACAATAATTCCTGGCTACGCCACTGTGTACAACAATGTCTCGTCCATGATTGCACTGAGAGCTCTCGCCTCTGTCCTCCGGTGTGGATTTGACAGGCCGATGATGTCACGCAGGGTAGCCAGTATTGCTGGGAGAGTTTTATTGACTGCCCAGATTGCAGTATATTGGCATGCCCAGCGAGTATCACTCAGCTTCTTGAGTTCTACGCACTGTGCTGTTGGCTCGAGTTCCTTTTGTTTTTTCATGAACAGATCGTGCACCACTGACCCAGAGAAAAACTTGTAGAGCATTTGTAGTGTCTCAAAAAACTCTGCTGCAGCGTTGACATTATGCACACAGTCCACCAGCACCAAGTTGAGCCTATGAGCATGGCAATGTATAAATTGCCTGTGGCACTTCTTTCCTGAACTTTTCCTGCACTCCATTGTTACATCCTGACATTACAGATGCGCCGTCATAGCACTGGCCAACACAACCATTAATGTCTATATTACACTGACTGAGTGTAAGCTTTATGCTTTAGTAGTGAGTCTGCATCTAACCCATCTGCTGGGGTGAAATGCAAGAATTCCTCATGCAACGTCTCTGTCAGTGGCTGTAAATACCGCACGATCACTGAAATCTGTTCCAGGTGCAGCCGCGGGGGCCGGGCATTTCAGCTCCTTCCTCCTCATCTCCATCCTCCCACGGCTTTTCTTGGTCCTCCTCCTGGTCGGTGAGCGTGACACCTTCAGCCTCTGCCTCACGATGCCTATTATGTGCAGATTCAGAATCCCTCTCGCTTACACGTGGACGTTTTAGGACTAAAAAACGATCCATTTTTCACTTTGCTCAACATCCACGTTAGCTAATAATTTGGCGCTCTAGCTAACAGGAAGTCACTGAAGTGTCACAAAGTAATTTAGCCTATGGGTAGGTCAAAAATCTAATGGGTGCTGGCCATTGGCCTAATCATATCACCTGTGTTGGCTTTATGTTTTTGGTAAAAAATGAGTTTGTTTCACATTTGCATTGATGTAATCAATAATTTTCTAATTTAATTTAATAAAAATAATAATAATTTTATATAAAAAAAAAAAAAAAACATTTATTGGGGTGCTTGGGGTGCTTTGGCAATCCTGGGGGGTGCTTCAGCACCCCCTAGCTCCCCCCTGCCGCCCGCAAGGTGGGCCCCACCCTCGGGCTCCTTTCCGGTATAAATAGGAAGGAGGCCCGACAATCTGCTCCCTCTTTTCTTCAGCACCCCGTTACTTAAGCACAAGAGACACTTCAATTGCAGAGAAACGAGTAACAATTGCGAGATTGTCCCTCATGTGGCTCTGGGTTCATAATGACTTTTCGCGGGTGCAGACGGTCAGGAGTGACCCGATCTGGCCACGCTTCCCGGCCGTCAGAAGGTTCCAGGAGGGGGCGGCGGCGAACCCGAGGACCCTGAAGGCTCCGGTGGCCACATTTGTTCCCCTCACCAAGGTGGAGGGGTTCACAGATGCTGGTTTTCCAGCCGCCCCTTCTCTGGAGCCGAACCTGACGGCGTTTTTTGGGGTAAGACAGGCCAACATAATCGCCGGACGGTGCCCTAGGTTGAGCGCCCCCAGAGACCACACTGAAAAAAAAAGTTCTTTGGATTTACTCGATTTGAATGTGTACATTGGTCTCACACCATGAGAATGTGTAAATCTGACACATTTTTGCTTGTCAAACCATCATATACTATTCACATCAGACCGCTAGAAATAATCATGTTGATTCAACATGATATTTTTCAGCTACTGCAATCCCATTTTATTGAGAAATGTTAAAGCAATTTCATCACGTTCTGTTTATTTAATTTTGACCTGTAATTCTAACATGATTTTTTCATGCTATTATTCAAATATATTGTGTATGTTTTAAGCTATTTCATCATGTTCTGGTTGCTAGATTTTGACCAGTAAATTTAACTTGAATTTTTCATGCTAATATTATTAAAACGTATTATGCGTGTTTGAAGCAATTTCAAATATGATTTGCTAAGTCTCTCATTCAAATACATTGCACACACAGCTTCCAATGGAGGCAAATACAAAATCAAGCAGTTCTGTATCAAAACACTTTATTGAGCTTTAAATAAGCAACAAGAATACCACTATACACACACTTCAGTACATTCAAACTAGTTATCCATTATGTGGTTTAATTTGGGGTTTTACCCTTTTCACAGTAACAATAGAATTGATCAAATATATATATTTTTAAACAATTAAAAGAGGTGCTACAGCACAGGCAATATAGAAAAACACTGCAGCATGGAACATTGAATAATTAAAGCATGGAACTATGCTTTAACCTGAACATTTGTGACATAAAATGACCTGTGGTGGCATCAGTCTAGAAGAAATATATGAAGGAACAATAAGAGTGAACAGTTGCACAGTTCCTTAAATTCTGAGCAGGGGGGGGATGCTAGATAAAAGATTTCAGACACATGCAGGATTGACAGGTTTCTTATAATAGAGTCTGAAACACAAGCACTAAAGACAGCAATGGTCTTTAAGATGGTCTCAGGTTAAAAACACAAGTTGTAACGAAGTAACAACAAATCCTAAAACATACAGGGTTCTTACACCTTTTCCAAAGTCAAATTCAAGCACTTTTCAAGCATTTTCAAGGTGCATTTTCCAGCTTTTCAAGCAGCTTACAGCTGTTGTAAATTACATATTTATATACACATACTCAAATGATTATTTCCCTACCTCACATTAAATCAGATGTTCTTTATGCTATAAACAACCAAATGTGTGTTTCGTGATAGCCTTCTACACGAGGACGAAACCATTAAAGAAAATAAAGCCAAGTTTAATATTTCAAAATTAGTGATCTGTACGTAGACTGGGCCTCCCATATAACCTGTCTGAGCCAAATATAAAACAATCAGCCAAATAACTTTTCAATACATTATTGATTACTATTTTTGAGGTACTTTTAGGTTGACAGTAACATAAGTCAGAGGTACATGGTGTACTTTTCCTCCACTACATGTATTTAATCCCTTTAGTTACTTTACAGATGTGGATGAATGATGTGAAATATAATCAAGTGTTAAATCAGACTTTAGTTCCATCTGGAGTAAATTCACAAGCTACCCTGCAGTATACAAAGTCATTCAAACTAGCTGCACCTTTACCAGCTTTGAGAACACTTTCATGATCAATCATTATAAAACATATCATATATATTATTCTGAAATGGACCAATCTGCACAACGACTACTTTTACTGTCTTTCACTATATTCTGATGAGAATACTTTTCTACTTTCACTTGAGGAACATTTTGAAAGCAGAACTTTTACTGTAAGAGTATTCCTACACTCTGGTACTTCTACTTTTACTCAAGTACAAGATCTGAGTACTTCTCCACCTCTGGTAGCGTATTCGTCTGAATTGTAGCCACAAAATCACACAGAGCTGCATAGAAATAGACTCACAATGGTAACAAGTGGAAAATAATATTTACAAATGTGAACAATGATTTGTAGGTAATTTTGACCACTCAAGACACCTGACTTCTACATCTTCAAAGGAAGACTGTGTTCATTCTACAATTACATGGGATTAAAGCAACATGTAGTTTTACTTGTATAATACTTCAATTTTATATAAAAGACAGTTTGTTTTCATCCGTTTTCAAATAAACAAAGTCTTGGCTTTCAGAATATTAAACTTGTTTCGGCAAATTCAGATGATAAATACAACTTTGAAGCTTCGGCATAATTACAAGCGGAGAACTGAGTAACTTAACGTCACAGCAGGCATAACAACAGCCGGTGTTTCTTGTGAGTGTTTCCCCGGGAAACAAACGCAAAAATACACAAACACACTCGCGAGTTTCCCCCAGACCAGTAATACAAACGAAGATGTGTCTTCGGGTCAATGTGACTGATTTCGAGAGAGCAAGTCACATTTGGTTTAGGCACGAAACATACTACCAGAAGAAATACATTGCTTTCAAAATCGCTCTGTGTCGAATCAATAGATTATATTTCGTGACTATAACACGAAATGCCGTGAGTGCTTCATCCTCTGAACACCACAGGATGGCGACTGTAACGCACATAACATAGGTACGCTCCTCTGAAATGATTGTCCCCTGCAATTATTATTATCCCTCATGGAGTTCGCTATTCAGCTTGCCAACGTTAGCTTCAACAAACGTAACATGCAACGTTAGCCTAATCTAAAATGCTTTACTATGGCGTACCTTTCATGTGGCTCGTCAGCGCAGACTCTCGCATCGTTATTTGTTGCAAACTTTGCAGGAGGCTACTCGTGGGCTTGACCCTCGTCTTAGCCATGGCTTGTATTTGTCTTCTGCTAGCCAACGCTCGTTGAAACGGCAACCTCCTGGCACACAGTCATCGATCACTCTCATCAGAATGCCCAGGTCACACGCAACACAAACACTTGCAGGTCGCGCGCATAGCGCGGGAAGGCCGCAGCGGAGCTGTTTTATGTAGAAGCGAAGCAATTCTTTTCTTTTAATCTAAAAAGCGAACTATTCAGTCAGACAGCAATTTAATGTAAAAGTAAAGCATTTACATTTTCAAGCACTTTATCTCAATTTCATGCACCATTCCCAAAATTCAAGCACTTTCCCAACCTTGAAAACACCACGTCAAATTTCAAGCATTTTCAAGGATTTCAAGCACCCGTACGAACCCTGAACATAACAGAGAAAAAAAGAACAGATTCAATTGTTTGGGGTTTCTTGCATGCAGCAGTCTCTGAACCGTTTAACTGAAGGAGCCTGTTTTTCAGAGCAGTTGCATTGTTTGAGAGCTTACCGCAGTCCAGTTCCATTATAATGCTTTGGACTACTTCAAAGGTGTAGCGGAGGTCAGCAGGGTAGCTGATATTCAGCGCGTACATTAGTCTGAACAGCATTACAAAAGCTAATGCTACATTATCCAGATTTGTCAAGACTTTGACGCCTTCTAGAACGATCCCGATGTCCTCCGGTTCATCAGTGGAAGCATCTTTAAGAACATAAATCCCCACAGTCGTGTCCTTGATGGCGCCTTCATCTGTGTCCTGTAAAAAAGAAAAAACGGCAAAATGTAAGCAAATAAGACCTAAAACCAAGCCCCATCAAGAAAAAATGAAATAAAATAAGGGAAGGCATAGTATAGATCTAGCCATGGCAAGTTGAACATTATAAATGAAAGTAAATGAAAGATGTCAAATTAAATGTAGATAAAATAATCAAGTACCGTAATTACAGCAGAACATGAATCAATCTGGTGATCTTTAAGCTGGCTATGCCCTACTGAGTATAACAAGTGGGACACGTCCTTGTGTGGCACTAGTTGCCATGTTCACTTATTAGTTTGTTAAAATGCTCCAAGGTAAATATGTATGCAACACAAGTATAATAGGAAAAGTTGCAATTCCAAATGTATTAAGTTAATTCAAGCAGCAACGATGAAATATTGAATGTAATATTTCATAATATGAAACAAAAACCACCCACTATATTTTCAATGAACAATTTCAGCCCAAGAGATCATGTATGGAAACAAAAGTGAAGAGAAGTATCAAAGAAGCAGGCAGATTCATGTACATACCACATATTCTCGCACAAGGTCTTTTGGATCTTCCCCCATGGAGATGCATAGTCCCTTGATGATAGACTCGCGTCCAGCATCTACATCATCACACTGAAAGTAAATGTACTTGATTAGTGTCTTATTACAGGTCTTGTGCTTTAATTCAAGTCAACTACTGGTGTGAACTGTCATTTGGATACATATTACTTTGAGAATACAACATCACAGTTCCTAAGAAAGTGCAAGCTCTGCTGTGAGCTCCACATCCCCTGGACATCTTTCTCAAATTGTGGTCAGTGGATATACGAGTTGAATTATTATATATCACATTTAAAATTGAGATGGATAGATTGCTCAAGACAGGGTCAGTTAAAGCTACAATGTGTAGAATTAGGGTGTTTTAGCTAAACGTGTGGTTAGAGAGGGAATGGCAACGCTCTACTCAATCAGAGAATCTACGGTGGCACTGAAGGACCAAAAAGTAGCACTGTGTGTTAGAGCTGCTGTCAGCCGGCACTCTGGTCACTTTCACTGCGGAGCTACTACACTACTGAAAGGAGAAAGATAAAAAAAAAATGGTAATGTCTCCTTGGCGATGAGCACTTTTTGTGTGCCATTCTTGCAAATAAATTATGTAATAACTAAAATGTAAAATATTGTAGCATCACTTTTCACAATTCTAAAATTCGTGATTCTCAAAAATTGTTTTCAAAATAATTTATGTTTATAGGTTATTCATAATTGTGAGAATCCTGTATCACTTACATTAGCCATTTGTGAAATGATTGTTTCCAGCCTTCCCCCAAGCTGTCCTCCTCGCTTTTGGAACAGCTTCATCAGGGTGCCAGAGTGGAGGTCCAGCTGAGACAGGAATTTTGATTGTAGTGGCTTGGTCGTGATTCTCTTGAATTCAGAGTTGATCTGAAAACGCATAAAATTCAAAAAGGAATTTGATCATTGTTTAACATTAGGGAGAAAACAACCACCACACATACTGGAGACCAGGATGAGGTTAAAAAGCACAGATGAATTATATAAAATCAGTTACAGTATATTAGCAGTTTTCCAGTGTGCCCATGGATTTCCTTTTATCAACTTCAAAATTCAGGATGAAAAACCGAGCATGGGATAAGCCTTACCTCAGAGACTTCAAACAGAGCAGACCACCTTGCCATGAAATCCTCCACCATTGGACCATCACGAACAACTTCATGTCTTCTGAGTGCAAAGGTCTTTTCCATCTTGAGTTTCACAATGTCTCTGTTGTTCCTCTTCTTTGCATCTAAAAGTAGAGCTCTCTGCATAGCTTCCAGACTCTCCTCAGTTTCTGCAATTGGGTATGTTGGGCAAAAATTCACCTCGGCTCTCTTTGCCTTTTTGACGCCAAAAGCTGCACTTTTCTTTCCCACAGGTTTGTTTTTTAAGGAGTTCACTGTCACTTCTGGACAGCCCAGTTTTCTAAGGTGTGTGCGGTAGTTGGATAGTTTATACTTTAAACTGGTCTTCCATCCGCCACATCCAGTGCAGGACCCCTTCTCAGATGAACACGGATGTGTTTTGATAAGACTTTGTGCCACCTCTTCCATCTCCTTATCAGTGACATAGACTTTATACTTCACTATTTCCTGCACTAAACCATCAAGGATGGCTGACTTCAACTTCGGCTCTGGCATAAGCACAGTGCCATTTTGAACATAAGTTAAGCCCTCCTGCTGAAGTTTTAATTCTACATCGTAGGAGAACTTGGGCACATGAAAAACAGCAGGCCAAGATGACCGTGTGCTCGTAGACTCAATTGACTGTACATCTGTATCCACATATCCGCTGGACAGGGACGAGGAGTCATTTAGAGCGTAATACATCTGGGGATTTAGGACTGCAACAGCAGACCTCTCATGGTCATTCAGAATAGCGGTGGGCCTTGACACATCACAGACTCTGAGTACCTTTGTCCACTACTTCAGTCATTGATGTAAGGTTAAGGAATTCATTTCCAAACAAGGAGTCCATAAACTGCAGTCGGAAATTGCCCTCAAGTCCACACTGTTTCTTGACTTCATCTTTGAGGTCATCAACTGATACAGGGAGTCCATGAGGGAGAGTCAGCCTCTGAGAGCTGCAATCAGTCAAGATTATCTTGAGGATCACAGGAGTTCCCATCATCAAGACGATTTAGTTTATACTTTAGATTATACTTCAGACACTATTAGATTTCAAATTCAGTGGTGAAAGCCTACTTTTATATGACTGAGTGCAGTTTGTATGGAAATGTATAATGAATATATGAGTTGTATAAACAACTGTACAACAGACCCCCCCCACCCATGTACCAAGCATACCTCTTATTTCAATATGTCTTTTCAGGATAACCATGCGGGCTGATCCAATCTTGTAGTCAGCGAGTGGATATGTGTCAAGTAGTTCACTGAGTGCAACAAGGGTGAATGTTCTTGTGGGTGCTGGAGTGAGTTCAAAGGCTCGATAATGCTCGCTATACCAACCACAGAGCTCTTTGACAATGTAAAATACACTCTCATGTAGAATGCAGATTTGGTCAATTTCACTGAATTCAGGAAGGCCACCTGCTGATCTGTGGGCCAATATCATGCCCTTCCTATAGGTTATGCCCTTGATTTTTACACCCTGTGCAAGGTGGACCTCAGTTGTGTCAGAGAACTTTTGCCTGATGACCTGTGCTATCTCCTCTTTCAAAAAGTCTACTGGTAGAGTACATACAGATGAGACCTCTAGTTCAGATTTGCTCAGACATGGAGAGTTCAGGTGGTAAGCAATCATCATCTGATGCTTTGAGGCTAGGGAGAGGGGCACATTCTTGAAGAAGCTTGTGTGTCTGATAACCTGCTTAAAAAAGCTATGCTTAGCTTCAAAGCGCATTGTCCATTGCCCAACAACTGGACCAAACAGCTTAATCAGCTGGGGGTAGTGCTCCAAATAATGGTGTTTTGGTAGCAGCCTGATGTCAGGGAACAACTCTTTGTACCTCTGCCTGTGCTCTATGATTTTACTTTCTAAGAAAGCTAGCGAGTCATCACTATGCACAGGGGCAACAACAATGTCTGTGATGTCCTTCAGATCCATGAGAACCAGCCATGCAGGCTCATCTTTAGGTACAAGTGATCCAACTAAAAACGGTAGAAATCTGAGAAGGCTCCAGTTTTCATGAGCATTTCCCCCCTCAGTTTTTCTCCTGGAGAAAGTTTGTGACACCACATGAGGTTTATTTGTCCTATCAGCCCATTTGTAGGGAAACTTCACGATGGCACTGTTCAGTTCACCCAAAGTGAAAAACGTTCTCGATATTAGCAATGCTAAGCAGCGAGCTAGTTCCACTGAGATTATACCCTCAAAAAGATCATGCGCAAGATCAGGTGGATAGCCAAAGATGACATGAAAATGAGAAAGATTTTTTGTGAAAACGCATTCATTTTTCACTCCATAACAAATTCACTCCATAACAAAATGTACCCGTATCTTGGGCTTGTTTGACATGGGCTTGATGAAGATCCTTGGTTCTCAGGCTGAAAGCACCAGATGCAACTGAATGCAGTTGAATATCACTGCTCTTTCCTGTGCAAAATCTGCAGTAGTATTCCACTGAAAAACTCTGCATAAATCCTGCTACGGAGTGCGCTCCCAGGTTGTCAGCCACTACACTGAACACTGCACCTTTAACTGACTCACCTAACTGTGGGACATAAACACCCAGCTCCTCCAGAGTTTTCAAATCTTGTACAAGAGGTTCAAAGACTTTGTCAAAACCATACGTTTTAACGTCATCACTTTTGCACAAAGCTGCCAAGTAGATGGATGACAGCGAGGAGTGAGACCCTGGAGGCAAGTTAGCCAATATCCAATAAACAGCATAAAGTTTGTGTATCTTTCTTGAGGTGCCAAGTGGGTTACAGGTTTCAAAGTCGTCCACATATAAATTAAGGATTATTCGTGGCTTTTCCCCAGTGAAAAAAATATTTTCTTTAAACAGGGAACCATCTCTTGAAGACTTGTACTGATAGGACGCTCCTGAACATGTGACTTCCTGTCTTGGATGTCCCTCAACAACTTTATCAAGTATATCCCTTCTACTTAACAACTGCTGTAAGGACTTCAAAACCGGTACATATTGGAAAGTACGTTTGTTTTTAGCATCAAGAATGTATTCAACTGGCTCCACAACACTAAAGTTCTGCTTGTAATACTGCTTACGCAGATACACAGTACTTAGAGGTCCACCTTTCTGTATGGACCTCTGAACTGGATTACCAAAAGATAAAGCATCAACAGTTTCTCTTATAATAAGATCATTGATATGAACGTTTCTCTGTTGAAAGATGCCCCTCACAATGTCACAAGATAGCGGAACAGGTGCAGAACAAATCAAATGACAAAGTTCCTCTAAAAATACATCAACTGCTGTGCCTGGCACATGGACCAAATGTTCCAATTTAAGCAAAGCAGCAGCAAATCTTTGCTCTATGACCTTCTGCAAGTCCTCAGTTTGATAATGGCTACTTGATGGAACGGAAGTATCTGATTCAGGCTCTAAATACTCTTGGTCATTTTCATCCGATTCATTCACAGATGATATTCTAGAATGTACCACTACTCCTGGTTTGAAATCAACCAATGTGTGATGGCAGTGTTTCCTGTTTTTGTGTGATTTAAATGTAAAATAAACGTTTGTTTTAAAGTCACAACCTAAAAACATACAACTCACTGTCTCATTTTTTTTTTAGATGTGCATTTATATGACAAAAATAATCCCTCTCTGATGCCAAATCACTACAAGCACAAAGGTGGCAACTAAATATTGCTTCCTGTTTGCGAGTGAAGTCTGAGAAGTGTATTTTACTATGGTGGACAATAAGGGCATTCCACGTCTTAAATGTACAGGGACAGTGAAGGTATGTACAAGGAAAATTAGAAGTACGCCCAACATGTGGATGCTTTAACTTGTAATGATGCAACAGCTTGGACCTACTTGACACAGTTTCTTTGCACCCCTTACAACTCCACATTCCCTGCACGGAACCCTGTAACATAGATAAAGACAATGGTTAGTCTTTATTAAAAGTCAATTTGCTATATAGAGGATATCAAAAAAGTAATCTGTCTAGCCAAGTTCAACACAAATGATGGCAATCTTCTAACACTTCCAAATTGATGTACAGGTCAAACTGAACACTAAACAACCACTGAATGTGTTTTCCACATGTTTATATTTGTGTTAGATTAGATATACTTTATTGATCCCAATTGGGGGAAATTACCTTCCACAGCAGCATGTACACAAGTAGAAAATAAACAATTATTAACAGCAAATATAAACATCTACATATTACACAATAATTCAAGACTTAAAAGTAAAATACAAATAAGAAATAATATGTATATAAAAATGTTGACAGTGATGACTCAATAGTAAAATAAACCTATTGGCAGTGATATTCAAATAAGAAGAAGACTATTATTGTGCAGGGGTTTCTGTGCTAGCCAGAGATGAGTTGTGACTGACTTTGTCAGTAACTGAACTCTTTTTTACTTTCTTTGAAAATGTACCTCAACAAGTAACAAAATGCAGATTCAGTTTCAACAGTTGAAAATTAATATAATAGCTCTTACCAATATAAAATCTTTCTGTGTGGGCCTTTCAGTGATGAAGAGGATGATGAACCTATGAAGGAAAACATTTAGAATCAGTGGATTTAAGATAAATAATGAGATAAAAGACTACGAACAATTATAACAAAAGCACATGGAATATATACATACTTAAATATAACAAGTCCTCCTCTCTGCTCTTGTCTGTGTTAAACAATGCCAGTGCTAGCTAGATAGCTAACATGAGCTAAACATAGCGTCATGATGACGTGAATGTCACAGACCAAAGCTGTGTGGCTAGGCTAACTTGAACGTGCAGTTGGCGGTAGTCACTGACTTTATGTTAAATCGGCAAAACAAAACTTCAGCCGTTGGCAGCACAGAGCCCCACATTATCTCATATTTGTTCAGAAAATGAATAACAATCCTTGTCACAGACGGTCCTTGGCATGCGGAAAACAGTCGCTGTTTTTTAAAAGTTTATATGACGTTATTTTAAGTGTGGAAAGGGCACCAACAACGATAGCTTAGCCCGATCCGATCTCCATTCATAAAATGGCTGCTTTAAAGTGTTTTGCCTGCAGTTTTGCAACTACACTTCCCACAGTAGTCAATCATGGTTTAAATTAATCGGTGTCAGTATGTTGTTGATTCGGCCTCATTGTTATACGTTTATATAAATAAATAAGCGAACTAAATGTTCTTACTTGGACCGAGACCGACTCACATATACGCGCGAGCACACTGACGGAGCCTACACACGGCGGCGTGCGTTGCCGCTTCAACGCTTCTGCCCATTCACTTTGAATGGGGTGACGTCACGATTCGCCGAACTGCATTGTGGGAGCAAAGCGTAGCTTCTCTCGCGGTGCTCGCTGCAAAAGTAGAACAATGTTCTACTTTTGCCGCCTCGACGGAGGCGTCAGCCAATCCAATCCCGCGTATGCAAATCTGACATTACAAGCGCTAGGCAATCAAACCGCGTGTATGTTGGGAGAGCCAGACCGCAGTTATTTCCCATATGTAAAAAAATGGAGGAGAAAAAGATCGTGGCGGTACTATATGACCAGTCCCTCTTTACATACAGGGATACAAACCGGAGGAGCCAGGCATGGGGGGAGGTGGCAGAGACAGTGGGTGACACTGGTAGGTTTTCGCCTTTTTGGGGAGTTTATATCCAGTGTACTTCGTTTGAATGGACAGCTAGCAAGCATAGACAGTATATTTAGCCAGCATGGATGTAGCATGAATGCTTTGCTTTGTATGTCCGGGGCGGGACATTCATGTGATTGGTTGTTGGTCGCGTTGTTCGTAACGAATCCCCAAGCTTCAGACACGCCCACCGCCAAGCGGTAACGCACGCCGCCGTGTGTAGGGGCCGTGACACAGCCACACGTGCGCTGACCTAATGTCAGCGCTAGCTTGATAGCTAACATTAGCAATACATCGTGTCATGTACATACACACGTCCCCGTAATTGTAAAATACCGAACGAACACAGCACTATATTGGAAAGGGGTACAAACATTTATTGAGCAGAAACATTTCATTTAGATAACTTACTTTTGGAGACTCTCACAGAGGTTGGCTTTGTGTAACCAACTGTTACTTTTCGCGGTTGTCGACACCTCTTCTTCTGTACTTTTTTTCGGCAGTTCCTGAGGACCAATCACAGCTCCGGACGCCACTTGAATATACTTCATTTCCGGTTATAACCCCATTCGATTACATTGATTACAATGTTTCAATTAAATCACGTTCAGTCAAAGCGATTTAAATACAGAGATTTAACAAATACATGTAATAAATGAAGTCTGCTTAATTAAATCACATTCAGAGACAGAACATGAACTAATTCCGTTGCATTTACTGTTTTTATTTGTGTAAATTCAAAGAACCTCTATGTCCTTTTTTTTCAGTGACAGAAGAGCAACATTTAAGTCGATACCATTCCAAGTAGGCCGCAAGGTGAACCTCGAAAAGTCCTTTAGAAAAGAAATCCCGCTCCACAGAAGTGAAACTACACAATCTTTAGTTCATAAAAAAGAACGATTCATGCTTATCCACCAAAAAAAATTTCGTCGCTAAAATTCCTGCCAATTCTTCTAGGCACGTAATTATTGGCTGAACTATTCCCTTCGAAGCGTAATAATATCTTGGTCCAAAGTCGTGCCACGGTTCATCACGTGATCGTGCTACACCAATTGGGTAGCTGCATATTGTCAACAGAAGTGAAAGATGGCGGCCGCCATGGTTTCATCGAGTAGCGGAGACGAGGAAAACGCACCAGAAAGTCTCAAAAAGTCAAAATTGTCAACACACAAACATTGTTACATGCATATTACGTCTGTGAAGCACGAAAAGGTTGATTGTTTTACCAATACAAGATGGAATACGTACAGGACAAGCTTACAACGGTCGCTCGGCTTGAAGGGAGACTCTCGGAACGTGGTGGCTGAAAACCACAAGCACTGTCTTGATTTCGAGTTCGAAGATATTCCTGAGGACGCTGGCTTCCACCACACATGCTACATAAGGTTTACCGACACAAAGGCCATGGCGAAGGTGGAAAGACGGCTCGCACGTGAGGGAGATCAAGACGTTAGGGAGGACCTTGAGGTCGAGCCCATCCCATCGACGTCTCGCAGCACGTACCGAAGCCAAACAGAGAAGCTACGATCAAGGTCAGGCCTGCCAATCGCAGGCTCTGGCCCCGTCCTTCCTGCCCTGTGCATTATATGCAAGATGAAGGAGAAAATGATCATCAAAGCAGGCAAGCGACAAAGGGATCAACTGTGTAAGGCTGAAACATTAAAAGCAGGTAAGCAAACCCCCTCCCCCACACACACACCACACACACACTACACACACACCACACACACACACACACACATTCTCTGTGGTTGAATAACTGAAAGGTACAATTATGTGTGAGAGATACGTCAACAAACTCATTGAGTTGTCCTTTTTTTCCGTTTAGGCAAATTGCAGAAAGCTGCTGAGAAGAAAGATGACCAAAGTGTTCTTTTACATATAAAAGACAAAGACTGTGTGGCTCTGGAGGTGCGGTACCACAAAAGCTGTTAGAGTCAGTACACCATGTTTTTGCTGAGACCTGACAAACCAGAGACAGAACAGTAAGTTATTTCTCCTTGGATTGCTTTACCTATTTGCACTACCACCAGACTGAAGTCCAGGTGTGTGTCGGCGATGGCTATATATATATATATACACATACACATACTTAACATTATAAGTAAACATCCAATTTCCTTCTGTTATATGTGCACACAATCACAACACTTATTCATTTATCCATTTATTTACTTCTCATTCATGTGTTGTAGGGATGAGGCAATGTTTGATGCCAGTTACAAGCTGTTCTGTGAGAGGATCATCCGCCAGAGGCTGCTTGTCAACAATGAGGTGCTTAGAATGGGCCAGCTGAGGCAGGCCTTCATTGACATGGTGAAAGCAAACGAAGGTGTTGATGCTTCAAACTACAGGTAACTGCAATGTAATACAAGTCTTATTATTTATCATGTGCAAGGCCAGCTTTAAACAAAATGTGTATGACAGGCCTGTTTGGAGAAACCCCCATGATGTGTAGTGTGTAGTGTTGTTTGTGATGATGTGGGCCTTTATTTGGCTTCTTTGGTGTTAAATGTGCTGTATGGCAGATAGGTTCTAGTCTGTAATGTCTTGTATCACCTCCACCACTCTGCTTTTGATGGTACTCCTGTGACTCATAATTGTCACTGTTTTGTTGTGTTACAGACAGGATCTGTTGAAGAAGAGGCTGGCTCAAGATTTCCCTCAGCTAGCGTTTCACATGCCCACCAAGCGCAACGTCTGCGAACTGGTTTTTGCTGAGACTCTGTCAAAGGATGCACTCGTGGACATGCTACCAGATCCATCCGGTACGGAAACAACACAGTCCAGTGAATTGAGCCAGACAGACAGCGACAATGAAACAGGGAGAACAAAGTGCCAAACAACACATGAGGACACAAGGACACTGTATACAGCAGCGTTGTTTTTGAAAAGACTGCTTAGTGACACTCCTGGCATGTCATGCCCATGGCCTCCCACTTCTGAAAATGTAAATGTCACTGAATCTCAAACTGTTGTCCCCATTGGACTATACAATCTGCTCAGCTGGATTATAGGTTCCACTGAGGAGCCAACACTGGATCATTATGTCAACATTGATGATGACGTACATTTGAAAGTGTTGTCTGTTTGTCAAGACATTGTGTACCTTGCTTCCAAGGGCCGCAAGCAGACACCCAAGTCCTTGGCTTTAGGTTTAACTGTTCGACATTTAACTGGATCATCACGCATTGTATCACTGCTTAACAGACTGGGACATTGTGCATCATGGGACACAGTTTTGAGTCTAGACACTAGCCTTGCCCAACTGACACTAGTAGAAGGCAGAGACAAAATACCGAAGGGATTCTCAAAGCGGACACCCACAACACTTGTGTGGGATAACATTGACTTTGGTGAGGAGACACTATCGGGTCGTGGAACTACTCACCATACAAATGGAATTATGCTCCAGAGTGTGCCCGGCGAGCCTATGTCCACAGCAATCAGACAGCCACTGAGAAAGGGAGTTACCTCATTCATAGCCCCCCCCCCCAATGCCTATACAACCTTACCATCAGTCCAAAAGGCAAGGGCCACAGAACTTGTGTCAACCAGTGCAGTCAGCGACATGCAGAATGGACACCCACTTTGCTGTACAAGCTGAAATGGCATATGCTTTTGTGAAGTCCACATGTACGGATAGTTGTACAATCCCAAGCTGGACAGGGTTCCATACACTGCTTCAGGATGAAAACACTCTGCAGAAGTCCGCATTGTATTATCTTCCAGTCATTGAAGCCTCACCAACAGAGATGTCAACAGTCAACACTATCCTGAAGCGAAGTGTCCAGATTGCTGACCAGCTAGAACTGGATCATATAGTTTTAGTGTTTGACCAGGCTATATATGCCAAAGCACAGCAAATACGCTGGAAGGATGTTGAGTTTACAAAGCGTCTAGTGATTAGACTAGGTGAATTCCATACATGCATGTCCTACCTGAGTATTCTAGGCAAAAGGTTCGGAGATGCAGGACTGCAAGATATCCTCATTGAATCTGAAGTTGTTGCCCCAGGATCCATCAATGGGGTACTCAATGGCCATCACTACAATGGCAGCATGAGGGCTCATAAACTTCTATATGAGAGTCTGCAGCGCATCCGGTTTATCACCTTCATGGACTCCTTGCCACCCCAAGAGAGAGCTGCGTGCATGGATGTCATCACTGAGATGGAATGTGCCTTTCCAGACAGATTGATGGATGTTTTGAGTGCAGATCAGAGGTTTGATAATATGTGCTCGAAATATGCAGACTTTGTGCAGAGGAGGAGTACAGAGAATGCAACATTTGCTTTCTGGAGCTCATACATTGACATGATGCAGCTACTCCTCCTGTTTGTGAGAGCAACGCGAGAATCAAACTGGCAGCTTCACCTGTCAACCGTCCGGTTAATGATGCCATGGTTTTTTGCCTACGATAGAGTAAATTACGCTCGATATTTACCTGCATACTGGCTGGAAATGATGAATCTGCCTGTCACACATCCCTCTTGCCACAGTGACATGAATGTGAAAGGCCAGTGGACTGTCCAGCGACAAAGTGTTCATGGATTTGCCTCCATTGCTTGCGACCAGGCTATTGAGCAAACGCTTAACAGAGATGCCAAGACCAAAGGTGGCTGGACAGGGATCACACAAAATCGGTCTGCAGTGTATCGCTGGATACTGTCACAGCATGAAAGAGCCGCGATAGCAAGACAGTGTGAATCAATGGCAGGGATATCTCCTGAGCTACGGACAAGAAAAGACCTGGACAAGACACGCATCTCTGCTGATGCAAAGGCTGTGAGTAGAATCTTGGACACTATTGATTCCATGCTCAACCCTTTTGATGTACACCAACACGGCATTGTGTGTCTTAGCTCTGGAAGAGTAGCAACAGGAGAAATCACAAAGGATTTGCTTGTTGCCTCAGAAAAGGGTGAAAATGCTGTAAAGGAGTTTATGGAGCAGAGACTGTTATCCAAAACAGTTGACATATTTGCCCCCATAATATCACAAAAACTCAAGACTCTCAGTGATCAGAAAAAGCCCCCCAAAAAATCTGCAGCAGGCAAGGAAGTGATTTTGCGTGCTGACAAGAAGTTATTTTCCAGGCTCCTCATCCTTGGCCAGAGCAGGAAAATTGAAATGAGGGAAATTCTGTCATATTCCTTGGGAACTGTGTCATATCCATTAGCAAGTGCTGATGGTTCACTTGCCAAAACAAACAAATCAGCTCTCATGGATCTATTGCAGAGCAAAGGTGGAGAGTGCTTGGTTGACAAAGTTCCAATAGGTGGTGCCATTCTTTTTGATGGCATGGCAGTCATGCAGGCCATGCCATCCAGACCAGCAACATTTGGAGAGCTTGCAGAGACCATACTGCAGAGCATACTCCAACTTGCTTTGCATCACAAGTGTACACGCATTGATTTTGTCACTGACCGGTATCCACCCATCAGCATCAAAAGCCTAGAACGGTCCCGTAGAGCTGATGCAGGGTCACAACTAATAACAATC